TTTCTTTCATCATGCATCAATTTTACAATTTTGTGAGAAACAAGTAATTACACAACCTAAAGCCACTTACGACACACGACAAATATAAATTGCAGTCAAGAAAGACGAAAATTGTAACTACGCGCACACCATATAATGTAAATATATTTCAAAGCGACACAAACCTCAACAACATTCATCGATGTCGCAGAAAAATATTTCTTCTTTTCATACATTACCGGTAGAATTTGTCTATCGGATTCTTGATAATCTGAACAATTACACTATTTTATGTTCAATGCAAAATGTTTGTATACGTATGAATGCAATTGTGGATAGTTATCATCGACATCAGGTAAAATTCTTCTTTCTGATTTCAGACATCTTCAAAACATATTAGAGATGGGGAAAATAGTAATCAGTCGCTCACACACTGCAAGTCAATTTTATCGTTCTACCACTGATATGAGGCGAATGCAACAGAAAAATAGTTTTTTGTTTATCTGTACGACGCTACCTACGAAGGATATAGGAAGGAAGAACGACGATTCTTTTGCGTTTTGCCTCGTGCAACTAATAGAACGACAAAATTGATTACAGAAACAGACAACATTCTCAAAATGAATGCATTCGAACGCGTTAGAAAGCGTCAATTTTTTCTAAACTAACGCGTTTTTGCCAGCTTCTCCGACAAATTTGACACTTCGGATTCGTGAAAATGAGGATCTTTCGCCTGACCAACAGATGTCGAAATAACATATCCATAGTGCATTCAAGAGCAGAGACTTCCAGTTTTTACTGTGACATAATTCAAAAACATGCTACGCAGTTGCTACAAACAATTTTCAGATTGTTTTTCGCATAGAAAATCCTATTCTAAGTCAATTACAACGTTTCAAAATTTCCACCAGAGGTTGCCAACATCAAAGACTCTGTCTTCGCACATTATTTCTCAAGACCAATCAGAGCACAGAAAGAGTGCTATTTCACTCTAGCTCGGTAAAAAATTATGTTTTTTTAGTCAATCAAGTGGTTACCACGGATTTCTTATCTTAAATGGCTTGTACAACAACCTCTTTTGTCTGTACTAGGATTAGAGCAACACCGTTCCTAAAAAACAACGTGAGAATTTTCCAGTTATCATCACATCTTAAGTGGCCACTAATAATAGCGTGCTCCTCAATCATTCACTTACTCTCAACTGAATTAACTATAAAACTGACACACATCAACTTAATAGATCAGGCACTTTGTCATTGCACCTACATTTTTGGTTTTATTAATATTCAGCGACCAGTAATGATTCTAACCCTCGTTCAAAAATTAAGGTAACTCTTACCAAAACTGTCTAAAATGCTACAGAATCTTCAAAAATTCTGGGAAATCTCAGAGAACAATGATAACCCTGAAAACACACGAGGAACCTCGCGAAATTCCTCAAAACACCCACAAAAAAATAAAATTCTACAAGTTGGTGTACAATATCTCGCTAACACCTTGCCAAATAAGACAGCGATTCTCATCATATTTTCATCCCGCACATATTCATCTATTTCTCTACACATAGACAATCACCATACTGAATCTTCACGACAATAGGATCGGAGATACTGCGGCACAACATCTCGCTGATGCCTTACGAAATAACAAGGTGATTCTAATCCTAGCTTCATCACTCTTATATTCATCTTCTCTGCACATAGACACTAACTACACTGGATCTTTTCAGAAATGAAATCGGAGATACGGCGACACAACATCTCGCTGATACCTTACGAAATAACACGGTGACCCTCATCCAATTTTCATCTCTTTCATATTCATCTTCTTCTCTACATATAGGCACTCACCACACTGAACCTCGAATCCAATCAAATCGGAGCGATTGGAGCACAACATCTCTCACATGCCTTACAAAATAACACAGTGATTCTCATCTTATTTTCATCTCTCTCGTACTCATATTTTTCTCCATCCATAGACACTCACCACACTGAACCTTCAATCCAATCGAATCGGAGTGATTGGGGCACAACATCTCGCAGATGCCTTACAAAATAACAAGGTGATTCTCATCCTATTTTTATCACATACTCAGCTTCTCCTCTACCTACAGACACTTACCATACTGAATCTTAGTGGCAATGACATCGGAGAGGCTGGGGTACACCATCTTGCTGATGCCTTACGAAATAACACGGTGATTCATCCTATTTTCATCTCTCTCAGATGCATTGTCTTCCTTGTACATAGACACTGACCACACTGGACCTTGCATTCAATAAAATCGGAGATGCTGGAGCAGACCATCTCGCCGATGCCTTACGGCATAACAAGGTGATTCTCATCCAATTTTCATCTCTTTCATATTCATCTTCTTCTCTGCCTACAGACACTTACCATACTGAAGCTTCGTGGCAATGAAATCCGAGAGGCTGGGATACAACGTCTTGCTGAAGCCTTACGAAATAACACCGTGATTCTCATCCTATTTTCATCTGTCTCATACTCATCTTCTTCTCTACACATAGATACTCACCACACTGGATCTTTACTGGAATGAAATCGAAGATGCTACTGTACAGCATCTCGCTGATAGCTTACGAGATAACAAGGTGCTACTCATCATATTTTCATCTCTATCATATTCATCTTCCCTTCTATACACAGACACTCACCTCACTACAGCTTGGTGACAATCGAATCGGAGATACTGGGGTACAACATCTCGCTAATGCTTTACGAAATAACACGGTGATTCTCATCCGATTCTTATCTCTCTCATATTCATCTCCTTTTCTATACATAGACACTCACCATATTGAACCTTCGTCGCAATCAAATCGGACATGCTGGAGCACAACATCTTGCTGATTTCTTACGAAATAACACGGTGATTCTCACCCTATTTTCATCTCTCTCATACTCATCTTCTTCTCTATCTGTAGACACTCACCACACTTATGCTAGGTGATTTTTCGGAAGGCAATAAAATCGGAGATGTTGGGGCACAATATCTCGCTAATGCCTTACAAAATAACACAGTGATTCTCATCTTATTTTCATCTCTCTCGTACTCATCTTTTTCTCCGCTCCATAGACACTCACCACACTGGAGCTTGGTAGCAATCAAATAGGAGGTGTTGGGGCACAACATCTAGCTGATGCCTTACGAAATAACATGGTGATTCTCATCCTATTTTCATCTCTTTCATACTCATCTTCTTTTCTATGCATAGACACTCACCACACTGAAGCTTGATCAAAATCAAATCGGAGATTTTGGGGCACAATATCTCGCTGATGTCTTACGAAATAACACGGTGATTCTCATTCTATTTTCACCTCTCTCATACTCATCTTCTTCTCTACCCATAGACACTCACCACACTGGAGTTTGGTAGCAATGCAATTGGAGGTGTTGGGGCACAGTATCTCGCTGATTCCTTACGAAATAACATAGTGATTATCATCCAATTTTTATCTCTTTCATATTCGTCTTTGCCTCTATACACAGACACTGACCACATTGAACCTTTACTGCAATGAAATCGGAGATATTGGTGCGCAGCATCTCGCTGATGGCTTACAAAATAATATGGTGACTCTCATCCTATTTTGATCTCTTTCATATTCATCTTCTTCTCTATACACAGACACTCGCCACCCTGAACCTTAATGCCAATCGAATCGGAGCGATTGGGGCACAACATATCGCTGATGCCTTACGAAATAACACGGTGATTCTCATCCTATTTTCATCTCTTTCATATTCATCTTCTTTTCTACACGCAGACACTCACCTCACTGCAGCTTGGTGACAATCAAATCGGAGCTACTGGGGTACAACATCTTGCTGATGCCTTACAAAATAACACAGTGAATCTCATTTTATTTTCATCCCTCTCGTATTCATCTTCTTCTCTACACACAGACGCTCACCACATTGAACCTTCGTCGCAATCAAATCGGAGATACTGGGGCACAACATTTTGCTGATTTCTTACGAAATAACACGGTGATTCTCATTCTATTTTCACTTCTCCCATACTCATCTTCTTCTCTACACATAGACACTCACCATACTGGACCTTTCCTGGAATGAAATCGGAGATGCTGGTGCACAGCATCTCGCTGATGGATTACAAAATAATATAGTGATTCTCTTCCTTTTCCCATGTCTTTTATATTCATCTTTTTCTCTACACACAGACCCTCACCTCGCTGGACCTTGATGAGAATGGAATCAATGATACTGGGAAACAACAACTTGCTCATGCCTTACGAAATAACACAGTGAATATCATGATATTTTCATCCTTCTGATATTCATGTTTTTCTCTACATACAGGCACTCCAGAATCTAAACATCTTCTGATTTAAGAACATTTCGTCAAGTATTCAAAAACAATTTGAACAACAGAACAAAAAATACATTGATTTGCTTTTTGGTTAAGCTTTTTTTGAGTGCTTATAAACAATTTCATTGTAATTTTTTCTGTATTTTATATTATTGATCTCGCGGGTGACCAGAGGGATGTCTGGACAGAGTGACAGTAAAGCTAGACCATTGTCAAATAAGTTTTGGTTGCCAATTGAAAGGACAATCTAAAAGAACAGATTACATTTACATTATCATTCAATAATAATACACACGTTATTGATAAATTTTCTATTAATCATCAATAACTTCCAGTTCATTACGAAATTACGTGCAATCGTGTCCGTGCATAAGTTCGATATCGCATAATAGTCTTATGAAACTCTTTCTTGTAGAATTTTGATGGTAATATAAATATAACAAAAGTAAGCATTGGTGGAATAAATGAAATAAAATATCCAACAAGAAATAACCACGATTCATTAGCTGATTTCATACATTTTGATACAAAAGTCATAATTGAACGTGGCAATGCAAGAATAACCAATAGAACTGGAGCAATAAATAAATGTTTATGTTGATGAAAGTTTTCACGTATAAGATCGTAGTAAGTTCGCATACGTTGAGCATGTGATTGTTGACTAGATTTCATTATTATGAGAATAACTGCTGACATAAGATTGATCAGAAGTGGACCAAGAAAATGAATATTTTGCAAAATAGTATTAAATATTTGTAAACTGGGTGAATAACTGATAACACACCATATTCTTTTCTTCTCAATATCATTAAAATTTTCTTCATCAATTAATCGTCGACGAATAGGATCCTGAATAGATGTACCGCCGACGACAAGCAAAAGAATGAGAATAACTATCCTAGCTGCTTGTTTACTTTTTTTCTTAACAAATGTAGTACCTTTGATTACAGTAATAGCTCGTTCCAAAGCCACACATGCATTTAACCATTGATGCATATTAAGACAAATTCGTAGAAGAAAACCAAAAGAAATACATTGAACTTGTAAAAATGATCGATTTGACACAGTTGTCATTTGTGAAAGTAAAAGTATCCAAAATTTCAATCCAAACATAATTGTTGTAAATAAGGTAGTGATTGATGAACCTAACAAATACATACCACAACCACCTTCACGTATAGTTTGATTTTGAAATGTCATTACACAACAAATAGCATTGATCAATCCTGTTACAATAAAGATGATAGTTAGTGCTAAACTTATTTGTATAATTAATGGTTGATACATAAGATTCACATTTAGTAGAATATGATAACCTATAATGGCATCAAGGGATAAACCACATCCATTGGCACTAAATTGACATCGGCTACCATAAAAACACAAAGGACACACACACATTTTGCTTTCCGGACAGTGTCGATCGCTTTGAAAACATAGACCACCATTTTTGCATTCATTTTGATCTGCACAATCAAACGGCGGATTATGATCAAAGTTAAAACAATTAGCCAAACGTTGTGAACTAAAATCATAACATAAACAAAGATGAACTTCGTCGTAGGGTGTGGGTGTGGG